TGGCGCAAAACCCACCTTCCTCTAAGAACCAGAACCCAGAATGGAGAGATGACAATCCGAGCCGGAAAAGGATGAGAATGGCGCAGAACCGAGGTCCGATGTTGACCTCCCCAACGAGATTCGGAAGGACGAACTCAACACCTCCACAACAATTTGCAGGTAAACCTCCAGTTAATTGGACTCCCTTTAATCTGCCGAGGTCACAAATTTTTATGCAGATCAAGAATAAAATGGATTTAAGGCGTCCTGGCCTGATGAAAACTGCTGTTGCCAATCGAGACCACACCAGATATTGTGATTTTCATCAAGATCACGGCCATACTACAGAGCAGTGCAACAGTTTAAAGTCCAAACTGGAGAGTTTAGCTCAGAAGGGAATGCTAAATGAGTATGTTCAGAGAGCTGAACAGCCGAGATTTATCAAAGAACAGAGGCCGCAGCCTCAAGGAGTCCGCAATCCCCCAAATAGGCAAGGTGTGGGATATCAACAAACCCCACCTCCGCTCCCACCGCCAGCTAGAATCATACATATGATTACCGGAGGCCTTGAAGCAGGTGGACTGAGCTCTAAGCAGCGAAAGCTGTATATCAGAGAGGTTAAACACCAAAACCGAGCTCAGAAGCGAAAGATTGACGATGCTGAGTGGAAGAATCAACCCATTACGTTCACGTCTGCTGATCTTGACACAGTGGTTACACCCCACAATGATCAATTGGTCACTTCTGTAATGATTAATAACTGTGAAGTACAGCGTGTCCTTGTTGACACCGGGAGTGCACCAGACATCATGTACTTCCACTGTTTCGAGAGTCTGGGATTAGATCCAGCATTGTTGCAGAAGTATGATGGTCCTATCTATGGTTTCAACAACCAACCTGTTCCGGTAGAAGGAGTTCTTACTCTACATGTGGCTTTTGGGAGTGGTAGGACCTATGTAACCCCGTCGGTCCGGTTCCTCGTAGTAAAGATGGTGTCCTCTTTCAACATTATCATTGGTCGACCCACACTGACTGAAATCCGAGCTGTAGTTTCCCAATCTCACCTCTGCATAAAGTTCCCAACTCCTATGGGCATAGCAACATTACGAGGAAATCAGGAGGTGGCCAGGCATTGTTATATCACCTCGGTAACACAACCCATGAAAGGCAAAGCTCAGACACCCGAGGCCATTCCCCAGCGAATTTCTGATAATCAGCAAGTTATGGGTGTTGAGATCGTAGATAATCGACCGGAAGATGAGAACAGAGCTGCTCCGGTTGAAGATGTTGAAGAAGTGCTCATTGATGACAGAGATCCGAATCGAAAGATGCAGATCGGAACTAGATTGAACCCAGAGAAAAGGGCAGAGCTAATAGCTTTTCTTCAAGCTAATAATGATGTATTCGCATGGACTTCGGCAGATATGCCAGGAATTCCAAATTCAGTCTCTCAACATAAGCTCAGCACCAATCCATTGAAGA